CCAAAACCCCAAAACCCCAAAACCCCAAAACCCCAAAACCCCAAAACCCCACATGATAACATAGGTTAATTTAAGCAGATGAGCTAAGAAAATTAAAGACAATATTGCTTTTATATGTTCATATATCTATATCTTTGGAGTAAAGTTAAGGATCTTTGATCATATTACTACTCTTATTTAGCTAATAGCTCATTTTATACAAGTTAGTAGTACTAATGGATTTATTTGGATCTGAGTTCGAGTGTGTCTACTAAGCACCTTCCTTCAAGTCCTAAGCATTTAATAACTACTATTGCATCGAGAGTATGGAATGATATACATGAGCAGGGTTGAATTTTATCCAGGGTGGTGCTAGCATGAAATAGACATGCTTATCATCTCGGAATCCCCAGTATTTAAGTACCTTCTTCAAGTTAAATTGGCTGATAACTTCATGAGTCGCAATCATAGTATTCATATATGCTTTCAAGCCCAGGTCTGTGTCTACACTCTTTTGGTCAAATTTAATTTCAATGAAGGAATCAGGGTTTGTACCGATGATAAAGTTAACCTCTGCCCAGTCAATCATGATAACTTTTTTAATATAATTGACTATATCTGGTAGTTGTTACTTGGTCACTCTTTCCAAGCCTTTGTCCAACAAGGCTGGCTTAAATTCACCATGAAGTATTTTATTCTCTTCGAGCCACTTCGCTCTAAGAATTTCCTCTTTGGTTGCTTCATAGGGATCGTCAACATTTAGAAAAGGGAAAACATAGTTCTTTAAATCTATATCATTCATAAAGCAGTCTTGATATTTCCCTAATATTTAGATTATTTCAGTAGAATTAGTACATTTATAGTTGTCAGTTCCAATGATGAATGGCTTATCTGAAATATTCTTCATTAATTGATCATGTAACTTTCTCTCTTCCTATTTTTGTCTTTAATCTATAAAATATAATTTCCAAAATTGCTATGCTCAAAAATTTACAATTGTCATAAGAATCAGGCAACCACTCAAAGTCTTGAAACAGTCCTCCTCCAATGAGTTTTTTTTGTTCATTTGGCATTTTAGATGATAAATTTTGATCCAATTTTTTCTTTAAAAACTTCAAAAGCACATTAGGCTAAATTTTATTTGGTAATTCTCTAAGTGAATTATCTATAATGAGATTAACTCTTAACAATAATTTTTTACAATTTCCAGTCCTAAAGCATCTTTGAATCATGTCCTATTCCTTATTTGTGTACTCGTAAAGCACTTCACCAAATAAAATAGAAGGATTTACATTGAGCCAAGTTTGGCAATTCATAATGATTTACTGAGGAATCAATCGGTATGGTGTCTCCTACATTAGTTGACTTCTTAGACAGATCTCTGTTAAATTCATTGCTATCATTGATTAACTACTAACTTTTCATCATTTTTAATATTTGAAATAAAATATTCTCACTTTAATTCTTATAATATTAAAGTCAGTGGGGTTTTGGGGTTTTGGGG